GGGAAATAGATTTGCACACTTTTTTAGGTCTCCTGTGCTCCACAGGCTAGAGGAATATTCTCCCATCACCTCCAAGACAGCCTCTGGATAGCTTCTTCCTGCAGCTGCAAGGCTCTTTCAGCAAGGTAAGGAGTACCATCAGCTCCTGTGACAACATCCTGCAGCATATTAACCACAAAGCCCTTTGCTGTTTCTTGGAGGACATCAGCCCAGTTAGTTCAGCTTTTTAGCCAGGCCCTTGTTTTCCAAGAACAGGAAGGAAGGTGCTCCTGGCAGTCAGGAAAAGCAGCTCCACATGGAAAGGTATTTCATTTCACAGGGTCTATATGCTCTTTAGTTTCTCTACTGAACCTCTGGTATTGTTTCATAATAATATACTGAGAAAATTCTGCACCCTAAACCCACTGCTGTTACAAGAATCATCATAGATTCATTGAATGGTGAAGACTGGAAGGGACCTGAAAGGTCATCAGGTTCCAACCTCCCTGCTATGAGCAGGGACACCTCCCACCAGACCATCACACAGATGTTTATTTTCTCCTGCAGGCAATGCAAGGAAATACTTTATTTACCATCACACCCCTGCCTGCTTCCCAGTGCTGCACAGCACAGCTCACCAAGCTAGATCGTATGTCAAAAAGTGTTCAAAGCATCAGAAAAAAACAGGGAAAACGAACACATCAGGCAGGAGAGGGATGGCAGCTGGTTGCTTTCATGCTAGCTGGACATCTGAGCACAGCAGAGCTCTGTTCTGGTAACACAAGTCAGATGAGCTGAACGCTCCTTTTCCATCACAGTCCTTGTGGCCTCTTTCCTGAGTGTCAGGGAGCAAGTGAAAAAAGGACCCACAAAGCGAAATCTTTGCAAGGCTCAAGAAGAAACCCTCTTGCACAATGAGATTTGGCAGAGAAATTGCCTTTCCCAGCTATAATGCAGCCACTGTTCTCACAGCCCGGGTCTCACAGCCGCTTGGCCGTGGCCTCCACAAACCCCCCCGTGCCCCTTCCGGGGCCAGGCACACTACAAACACAGGATTCACAGCTGGGGCGATGCCATCCAGCTTGGCCTCCTCCCAGATAAAGGGGTCCCATGTCCAAGCAAGAATTCCCAGAGCCAGGAGAAAGCACATTGGGTTTTTTTGGTTTTGAACGAAACGAGATGAGTCGCCTGGGAGCCTGCAGCTCTCAGCAGATGCAGGGACCTGCTGCCCTGAGCATGAAATAAGAACAGGAGCCCCAGCAGTTATGGGCACATGAGGCTCAAAACATCAAAGTTGGGACAATCTGAGGTTGTGAACAAGGTGGTGTTTGCTCTCCCAAGGTGACTCAAGGCAATGAGCTTAGCAGGAAGTGGTGAGATTCAGAAATCAGGTCATGGAAACCAGGCTGTTATGGTACCTCTTAAATGTGTTTCTTCCCAGAAGCTGCTGCAGGCTGAGCACAAGAAAAGAGCCAACACTGATGCCACCACCTGCACAGAGAAAGGTGCTGCCTTCATCTTAACTTCAGGGCAATTTGGTACTGGGGTCTCTTCCTCCAGGAAGACCCAATGCCCAAGTTGGGAATAAACATCTCAGGCCAGTCGGGCAGGAGCTGGGTTTGTCAGAGAAACAGCCCTGGGAAATGTTGTGGGGTGCTACCCAGTGAGTGCAGAAAGGGGAGGAGAGAACTGGTAATTGAGAACAGTTACTGACAAAAGATATAATGGAGCAAAGGCAAAGGAGTACATCAAGAAAATAATGTGATAAAGCAGGGTCTAGACTGAAATCAGTGTCTGGTTTTTAGGCCCTGCTGTGCACATAAATTATGCTTTGTCCATATGCAGACATGGCACAAGGTTAACAGAAATTAATTTAAAATGATGCAGGGTTCTGAGTTGAATCCATAAAACCCTTTGATGGTCACAACAGCAGATGAAAGCAGATCAAGTTGTTTCTCATGAGATCTATATCAAAATTACTAATGTAAACTACATGTATCAATGCTACACAACCAGCTGAAAAACACCTTTAGTTTAACTCATCTTATAAACAGAAACCCAGAAAGACAAACCACAATGAAAACAACACAAAAAAACTACAGACACACTATTCCAGAATTCTTCTTGGAAACCAAAAGGAAAGCCCCAAGGCTACTCTGTCCACCTCCTCCTCCTGCTATGGTTTCTGAAGAGTAATTTGCAAGTCTTGGAGATTAACAAGCACCTAGCAAAGAAAAATGTGAGCCTCACCATCTGCAAAAAGCTGAAAAACTACCTCCTGTGACAGAAAGGCCACAGAGGAGCTGCATCAGTTGCAGCATGAAACAAGCATGGATCACAGGCAGCATGAAACCAACTATGGGAAAAGATTTTTGACTAGTCAAAATGAAGAACCTGTCTCAGTGGAGGCTCTCAGTT